AAAAAAAAAAAACAAGAAACACTAAAATACTTTCCTTATTTTTTAAGCCAAATATAATAGTTTTTTATGTTCTGAGCAAAAAAATTGTTCATTTGTAAGCAATATGGAAAGTAATAATGTTGAATAAAAGATCAAGCATCATTTTGCGGCCAAATTTTTTTCTCTTGTTACTTTAATATTCATACTAAAAATTATTACTAATAATCAGTATTTATCGCTGTTATAATTAATTGTTAAACCAAAAAAAAAGAACAAGAAAAGTACCGTGGCAAGAAAGCCATATTAATTCTGCAGCAACTGTAAACCATACGGGTACTTCACTGTACTGAATAACCACATAAATAATACAGGTAACTGAGCTCAGTACGCAAAATACTGATGCCTGAACACATACCTAAAAAATTATAAGTTTCAATTTTTTTTCTTTTTACAGGTTAACTACACCAAATTAGGCTACTGTTTTTTATAACTTCTGTTTTTAGATTTATCAGATAGATCAGTAGCAGCAGTTAATCAGTTGACTAAAACTTTTATCAGTTGAATGATGGAACAATGTAATATTAATAAATTTTTAATGATAAAAATATTTAAAGAAAATATACCCTAAACAATTACAGAATTTGACATAAAGAAAAAAAGCTATCAGACTGTAGTTATTCGATGCTAAATTTTGACTCAACATTTTCTACATTTTATGATCACAGCGCAAGAGTGCTTAAAAGATGATCTATGCAAATGAGAGCATTCAAGCAAAAAACTTTGTTGCTGTTATTTTCTTTATCCCGTTACTATTTCACACTTTTCCATCATCATTCTTGTTTATTATTATTCATATATTTTTAGTTATCGACTTTTTTTACCGTCTTTTACATTAAGTCACATATTGATTTCTAAAAAGACAAAAAAAAAAAGGTGCAAATGTTTATCAGAATTTTTGAACAATTAATTGATTTCTTTTATCAGTTTTACTGATTCAAGAAATTTTTTTCTCAGTAGACAAAATGATGGAAAAATTAAGAGAATTTTTTTTTTGTGATATAATATATGAATATCTTAGCTGTTGCCGTTTTATTTAGAAGTGCTCCAAAAAAAAAAAAAAAAAACCACTTTATAAACAACTGCCAAGTGGTTCTCCTTTCGCAATTTTTTATCTCTTTGGTTTTCACTTTTGCTTTTTTCTTTTTTTTTTTTTTTTTTTCACTCCTTATCCCTATTCAATCACCTCCCAACACGAGATTTCTTTCATTTCCATTTGCAAAATAAAACTTAAAACATTTTGCTGAACAAAATAAAAAAAATAAAATAATACTTATAAAATAAATAAAAATCTGTTACCATCGTCGTTTCTATTGTTGTTTTCTTTAAAACTTGTAGAAACACTTACTGATTTTTGGATTCGATGTGTCTGTGAAGCAGTCTGACGTCGAGAATAGTTTAGCAGTCGAAAACAAATTGCTGAATAAAGACATACTAATATAACGGTTAATGTTATATTATTGACAATATGCGCCAGACTAAAGAACTGAAATAAAGTGTTTCCTTGTTAGATGTTAATAGAATGACTTCTTCATCAATCATGTACTATTTTTTGTTCTGATATATATCTGATAAAACTTTAAAGAAATAAAGGTAATCTTCTCTTTTTTCTTTTCTTTTTGATCAAATACAAACAATAAAAGTTGCAATAAGAAACCGTTTTCTTATCACGTCTTCTATTTATATGCGGATCAAAGAAAAATGCGTGATAATTTGCATCGTAGATCATTGGTTTCTCGAACAACGTAAAATAGACGGCATAAACTACTGAAAAATCTTGTTTCTTTATTGCAGATAATGAAAAA